AGGCTAGAAGAGGAGATTGGCTGTGATTGTTGGGATTCAGCTATGATTTTTATCTCCAAGCACCAGCTTTTGAACTTTTGCCATCGTTGCACAGAGTGGTTTGTTGTCAGTATTTCCTGACAGCGAGTGTGGGGCAACATTCCTCTAGGGGTACCTGAGATGTTTATGCATGGAGCTCAAGGTCATTCAATGTGGAATACCGTCATGGCCTTAAATAACACTGTAACCCAAGAGCGAATGACATCCCCATCTCAGCCCTTTTTCAGTTCTGACCACATCTGGAGAAAGTCTTTCTTTAATATCTCTCATGTTCCCATTTTCTGTTTATTGGTAGAGAGTAAACAGCTTAGGTTTAGGGCCTTTTGTAAGCAATAGTCTTCAGAGAGATTTTACAAAATTTTTATCGTGGAATTCATTTTCTTTGTACCAGGATGGCAAGTGGTCCTAGTTTTCCCCTTATTGTGGTAATGTAAACACTTTTAATAAGTTCATTTCAGTATGAAAAGTGAGACAATGTACTAGGTCATATGGAAACAAATAATAATGCTGGTAGCATGTGGATATGGCAAAATTAAAGGTGGTGGTATGCAATGATTCAACTTTGGGAAACACTGGGTTAGAGTGTGTGGCAAAAACTAGCATGTGCCAGATCTTTGTGCCAATGCCTAGAGAGACTGTGGGTGGTGAGGTGGAGGGGAGGAGGCAGCTGGCATTACAGTGCCTGGCTGATGGCACTGGGTCAGCTGGGAGGGTCCCACTGCTGTCCCTACCACCACCAGCCTAACGCCATTGCCGCTCGTCTCTCCCTGCAGAGATCCGCACGCAGCTGGTAGAGCAGTTCAAATGCTTGGAGCAGCAGTCTGAGTCGCGGCTGCAGCTGCTGCAGGACCTCCAGGAGTTCTTCCGGCGGAAAGCAGAGATTGAGTTGGAGTACTCCCGCAGCCTGGAGAAGCTGGCTGAGCGGTTCTCCTCCAAGATCCGCAGCTCCCGGGAGCACCAGTTCAAGTGAGAAGGGGCTAGGGGTCTGGGCGATGGGAAGCAGTGGGGCTGGGAGTTGAAGGCAAAGCAGAAAACATAAAAAGACTTGCTGGAGACAGGCGTGCTTTTAAGGCCCTGCATCTGCAGTTACTTACACCCCCAAACCTGGCTTCCTCAGTTGTAAAGTGAAGGTAGAAATAGTTCCTATTCATAACATGCTCTAAAGAATTAATGAGTAACCGAAGAAGAGTGCCTGTCAAGGCAGTAAGTGCTCAAGAAATCATTGCTGCTGTTGTTACTATCATAGGAAGCACCAGCACGCGCTAGCCTCCATTTGGACCAAGGTGACACGCTGGCCCCTATCAGGACATCCTCACCCTACTCATTTGTCTTTTACCTGGGGAGCAACCAGTCCACTTCTGAACTCCTTCAGCACAGTGACCTCACAATTTCTTCTCCATGGAACTGATGCTCAGAGCTTTTCTCTTCCTTATTCCCCTGGAGAACCAGCCCATGCTCTTTTCCTACCTTATGTACTTATTTGCAATGCACAACCCTCCAAGACCTAATTTCTCACACCCTACTCTGAGTTTGGGGAGTTCGGGACCCTGCTGGCACTGATGTGGTGGGCTCTGAGTCCTCCAGCCGCAAAACCTTCTACACTCAGAACCTGCAGGGCCAGCCAGCTAAGCGCAGGTGGGAGGCGGCAGCCTCACCCAGACCGCATTCACCCCGAGCTGTCTGCAGAGTGGCACCAGGCTCTCTGATGTTCCCTCTTGCACTGGTTATCTTTACAGCGAACGGCCCTCAGTCCCAGGAGACCAGCAACTTGCTGTAACCCGCCCGATCTTCTCCTCCTTCCTCGGGTCTGGTCCTGTTTAATATGTTAAAAAATTATGGTAGAATACATATAACAAAATTTACCATCTTAATAATTTTTAAATGCACATTTATGTGGTGTTAAATACATTTACAAGGTTGTGCAACCATCACTACCATCCATTCCCATAATTCTTTTCATCTTGTAAAAGTGAAACTGTCCCCATTAAACACTAGCTCCCCATTTCTCCACTCCCTCTAACCCCTGGTCACCCCACTTTGCTTTCTGTCTCTGTGAATCTGACCACTCTGGGGACCTCAAGTGAGTGGCATCATCCAGCATCTGTCTGTGACTGGCTAATTTCACTGAGCATAATGTCCTCAAGGTTCCCCATGGGGTAGCTTGTATTCCTTTTGAAGGCTGAATAATATTCCATTGTGTGCAGGGACCACATTTTATTTACCATTCATCTGTGGATGGACACTGAGTTGCTTCCCCCTTCCTCTCTAATGGGTGCATTCCTTTGGCTAAGGAGCACTCTTCCTCCAACACCCCCCAAAATCTTCCTTAGTGTGTGCCTCAGCATTTGAAATCTCACTTTTATGCTTTTTCTTCTCTTGACATTTGGGGATAAGAAATTGCTTTATTAAAGGGCAAAAGTTTATTGCACCTTTGTAAATACCATGCTTGTTTTTCCACCCAGTCTCTTCTAGTCAAACTTTTCACTGCAGGAAGAAGCTTCTAATAACTTCCTCCCAGACACCATCTAGGCCCTTTCATCCACATCATCTCACTTTTCTGATGTGTTTTTTTGGAAAAAAATTTCTGTTTTTTTTTTCAGATAATGAAAGTAAAATGCTCATTGTATATACTTTAGAAAATACAGAGGAGGGGGAGAAAAAAATCACTTATATAGTCCTGCCACTTGGAAGCAAATATTGCTCACATTTTGGTGCCTTTTCTTGCTTATCTTTTAATAATAATAACAGCAATTTTTTTAACTTTTGAGTTTGTGCCGGGTGGCTATTACTACCCCATCTTAAAGATGAGGGCAGAGAAGCTCTGAGAAAGTAACATGTCCAGACATGTTTATGGACTAGTCATTGGAAAGAGACAGATTTAAACTGTCACTCTGTTCTGCCTCCTGTGTGTGCTGAGAAAAGTAAGGAAGGGCCTGAGTGCAGACTGAGAGCAGCCATGGAATCTGGACACGCTCCTGAAACCACAGATATGCCTGCATGCATACACACACAGAAACCCATGCCTCTGGCTACGCTGTCACTGGAGCCATCCAGGGCTGTATGGTCAGACCACAGCCTTAGCTCCTGTGCCTTCTTTCCTTCCTATTTTTGGTATGAACACGGGGGATAGGGGAAAGGCAGGGGATAGGGCAAAGGCAGGGGATTGGGGTGGAGGGCCTGGGCAGGGGTCCCCTATTCCCTTGCATTGCCTGTAATGAGCTCTGCCAGCTTCTCAAGGGGTCATTAACCAAAGCCACCAGATGGAACAGAAGCCCCAGCTGGCAGTCGGGCCAAGCAGGCTGCTTGACACACTATGAAAGTCTAATTAGGGTGTGGGCTAAGGCCAGTGCAGCTGACAGAGGCCCTCTGCACAATGCTAATATGTTAGCAGAGTCCCCAATAGCTTTTGGAAACAAGAATCTCTAGGGAATGCCTGGGCTTGCCCTTTGACCCCAGGTCCAATTGGGGTCCCTGGCTGCCTCATTTTTGGAGCTCAGCAGACGGGGTCTGTGCTGTGCTCTGTGGTTTTCATCCTGGCTTTCCTCTTGCAGATACTTTATTTAAGTGTCCACCTGTCTGTCAGGTAGCCTCTCAGGGCCTTGAGGGCAGGGCCCGGGTCTTGTTATTTTATTGTCACTGCCATGAGCCCAGTGCTGGGTGTTTGTGAATAAGTAGGAAGAAGGGAGGGAGGGAGGAAGAATGGGAGGGGATTTACTTGGTCTGTAAAGTCCACTCTGGCTGAGAGATTTGGTTCAGAGAGGGAATTGATTTATACAAAATATCACAGCAAAGTAGGGGCAGAACTGGGATGGGAACTGTGTTAGTCCATTTGGCTATTAAATAAAGTACCATAGACTGGGTGGCTTATAAACCATGAAATTTATTTCTCATGGTTCGGGAAGTTGGAAGTCTGAGATCAGGGCGCCGGCCTGGTCAGGTCCAGTGACAGCCCCCTGGCGACTTGCAGATTTGATTCTCACTGTCCTCACGTAGTGGAGAGCAGAGAGAGGAGGCAAGCTCACTCTCTCATGACTCTTTCAAGGGAACTAATTCCATTCATGACCACGCCACCCTCATGACCTCACCTGATCCTAATTACCTGCCAGAGGCCCCTCACTGTCACACTGGGTGTTGGATTTCCTCATATGGCTTCTGTGGGGACACAAACATTCAGTCCACAGCAAGAGCTCAGGTCTCTTGATTCTAAGTCCTGTGCCCCTCCTTTTACTCCACGGGCCACGTCTCTCCAAGGCCCTAGCTGCTACCCGCCTACCTGGGCAATCCAAAAGTTTACCGCTGGCCAGAAGGTGCTGTTGAGGCTAGACTCACCTGGGCTGAGTTCCGTGTGGCCCAAGATGCAAAGAAAGGCTCAAATGATGGCTCTGAGGATTTACCTGGGGCAGGTTGAACATTTAGAGAACAATGCTGTCACATGCTTCTTTTCTGTTATCATGTATTGCTATTCTAACACCTTTTTTCCAAGCACTCAGAGGTCTTTGCTCCCTCATAATCCTGATGATAACCCAGAGAAGTAGAGGGGGAGCCAGTGGTTTTATCTCAAGCCAACTGAGCACCAGACTGAGTGGCTTATTTTACAAAGGACACACAGTGAGCTGTTGAGTGAGAAAACCTGGGGCTCCTGATTTCCAGCTTGGGCTTCTCTCTCCAAGAAGCAGCATTCATTCATTTATTTGAAATATATACACTGAGGACCTCTTATTTCCTGGACTGTGCTCTGTGCTGAAACACAAAGATCAACGAGACACAGTCCCTGTTCTCAGGAACTGTCCCTCCTTATGAGAGATGAGCGCACGGCTTGGGGCATGCCTGTAGTTTCTGTGGTTGGGGCAGGCACCCATTCCCTGTGGCCATGCTCTTTGAACCCTGACACCTGCTTGCTCTTCAGGCCTCAGCATTTAGATGTCGTTTCCTTTGCAAGTGTCCTTGAGTCTGACCTGGTGCTTCCTCTGCGACACATAATATTCTTTACTTGCTGGTTTGCTTATTCAGCCAGTAGTTATTGAGCACCTGCCACGTGCCAGGCCCTGATTACACTGGTGAACAAGATAGACTTGGTTCCTGCCATGGTGGAATTTACCATTTAGTGGAAAAGAGAGATGGAAAAAACATTAAAAAAACAAATAAAAGAAAGAGAATATCATCAAATGATTGCTATGATGAAAATAAATATAATGCCAAATATTCTCGTTATTTATTCTGTGTAATAGCAGTAACCCTAAAACTTACTGTATCTCATGATTTAGTGAATGCTCACCTGGGAGATTTTCTCACCTCTCTGTCTTATGTGGCATCAAGTGGGATCACCCAGTGATATTCAGCTGGTGGCTGGCCTGTGCCTGCCGCTTGGTGGGGACAGCTCTACAGTTTGACTCAGCTGGGCTGCCTCTCTCTCCTTGAGGCGTCAGGGCCTCTCTACCTGGCACTTGAGCAGGATGTCAGACTTCAGACATTGTAGGTCAGGGCCCTGAGAGAGGAATGGGCAAGCTGTAGTCTGCTCCAAGTCTGGGCCTGGAACTGGCATAACATCACCCTCTCAGCCTTAGTTCAGCTTTAAGGAGACAGGATAAAGCCCTCCTGTTATTGGAAGACTGTCCATGGACTTGCAACCCTCTTTAAGCCTCCATACTGAGCTAGAACAGTATTCAGGGCTAGCTTCTGAAGGAAGAGGCGTTTGAGTAGAAACCTGAGAAGGAGCAGCCATGGGACAGTGTGAGGAGAGCACAGGCCAGTGGGGCTGGAACTAGTGTGGCAGTGGGAAGCCACCAAGACATTGTAACTATAGAGTCACATGATCTGCTTTTTATTTTTAATCCCCCTGGAGAGGGCAGGAGTGGACCTGAGGAGGTGGGTGGCAGTAGTGCCCTCCAAGCAGGTGGTGATGGTTGCCAGGGTGCTAGCAGAGCAGATGAGGAGGATGCTGGGACATCTCCCGGGGCTAGAACTGA